GGTTTTTTCATACAAAACCCCCAAATCTTGGATCTGAATTTCAATATCTAAAATATTATACATAAAGTGAAAGCCTGATAGCTATCAATTTGGATTAAAATAACAACTCATAAAGTTAGGGATAGAACTCCAGCTCGGATGGATGAGGAAAATTATTTCATGCTCATGTTAGAGGCAGTATGCAATAGCATAGGAATTGGCAGGATCGGAATTTGAATTCTCACTCTAATTTGGATACAACCTAGGCATTGAATGCTAACTATGTGCTGATAAATATGAACTATATCTCCATCCTAGATCTTTTCTTTGAACTCATCTATTCAACTACCTACTTGATATCTATCTCCACTGGAATATCTAACAGGATAGTTAAACAACATTTTCTAAAATCAAATTTTTGGTCTTCCCCTATAAACGTGTTCCCCTTAAGTCTTCCTCAGCTCAGTTAATGGTAGTTTTATCCCTGGAAGTGGCTAAAATGAAAAAAGGCAAGTCAGAGTCTTTTGAACTTTTCTCTTGCTTCTATACCCACCACTCCCATGCAATACATCAGCAAATATTATTTGTTTCTTCTCAAAGATATATCCCAGGAAAAAAATCACCTCTCCATCTCCATTATTGCTACCAGTCCAAATTGTCATCTTGTCAGACATAATGCAATATCCTCCTAATAGTCCCATAGCGTCAACTCTCTTTCCTCACAGTCTATTCTTAGCACAGTTACTAGAGTGATCCTGTTAAATATAAGCCAGAAAATGTAAATTCTCTTATCAAAACCCTCCAGTGGCTTTTTGTATCATCAAGAAAAGCCAAAGTCCTGATGAGTCATCTCCCTGCCCTCACCTCCTACCTCTCACTTCTCACCCTATTGTTACCTATAGAGAGTCTTGACTATGAGTCGTCCAGGTTCTTGGCGTTTTGAACAAAGTATTGGACAAAACTCACAAACAAAGCAACAAAGAATGAAGAAACAAAAGCACAGATTTGTTGAACTGAAAGTATTAATACACTTCACAGAGCAGGAGTGGGCTAGAGCATATGGCTTAAGAGTCCTGGTTACAGAACTTTCTAGGGTTTAAATACCTCTAGAGGTTTCTCACTGGTTACTCGGTTATGCCCTATGTAAATGAAATACTGCCCCCCAACTGATCTGATTGGTTGTGGGAATGACCAATCAGAGGTTGAAGTGAAGTTACAGGGTTACACCCCTATACAAATGAAAACTAGACCTGCAACCAGTCTGATTGGTTGTGGGAGGGGACCTATCAGAGGTACTTTTCATTTTTTCTCTGCCAGGAAGTGGAAAGTTGGAGGGCGTTGCAAAAGGAGTAGTTGCTGATCCTTCTGTTACTTCTGCATGAAGAGGTGGGGAAGTAACAGAAGGATCAGCAGCTACTCCTTTTGCAACATGCTCCTTTTGATTTAGTTCTAGGAAGCCAGCAAGAATCGGCTTTAGGCTCCCTGCCTCCAGACCCGATTCTCCTGCCTCACTACCCTTTCCCCATGCAGTCTTTTGTTGCTCCTCACACAAGACTTGCTCTTGTTTCAGAGCTTTTGCACTTACTGTTACCACTGCTGGAAATTCCCTTTTCCAAGGTATCTTTATGATTCATACTCTCACCTCCCTCAAGTGTTTGCTCAAATGTCATCTTAGGGAAGATGTCTTTCCTGACCATTCTGTATATGGAAAGATCTCACACTTCCTATACCTCCCATTTAATATTTCGTAAAGATAGCATTTAGCATTTTCCAATGTACTATATAGGTTCTAAATTATCAGGTTCCCTCACAAGAATAGAAGGATTCTGTCTTTTCGATTCATTGTGTTACCAGATGCTAGGACAGTGCACACTGGATAAATACACGTTGTATAAATAAGCACTAGCATGTCTTGTGGCGGAGCTATCCTTGGTGCTGAACCTTACTTCACATGCAGCTTACCATTGTGCAGACCTCATTTTAAGGCCTTTCCTTGGATTTATATAGCTCTTACTAGTTTTCTAAACAGGGACTGACCCATGCCATTTACATGCATTTTCCATAGTCATTCCATAATCCAAAAAAAGTCAATATCCACTCCTAACTGCATCTTACAACTAATGAAAGTGCAATTTAATTAAAGTTAGTCAAAGAGTCCAATGGTGCTCAGAATAATGTTTTTGATTCTTGTACCTACAATTCAAAAGGAAAAATGACAAACTAGAGTTTGTCTATCCAGAGAAGAGAGCTTTTCAATTAGGGACCCATGAAACCATGTTATTTAAAGAAGAGAAATTTGAGCATGGAGACTTATGAAGAACTTTAGAGATCCCATCACATATTTCAAACTTTGTCATGCAAAAAAGGGAGACATGTGTATTGTATGTTTCCAGAGGGAAAAATTACAAATGATTTGTAAAAGTTTCAGGGAATACCCCTGGTGATTCACACTGCCTAATAATGGAACATTTTGCTGTTCAGAGGAAAGTGAGACAGTAAGCTCTCCACTTTTAGAAGGGTCCAAGAATAAGCTACAAGGCCATATGATTCAGAAATACTATCATTATTTTGGATGTAAAGTTAGGCTGGATGACTTATAAGTCCCATGTACAACAAACATCCTTTATTTCTAAAACTGAATTACATGAAGATTCAGAGAATTTATAATTTTAGGAGTGACTTCTCAGTAAGTACCCAACCTCATGGCAGAATCAAGAGTCAAAACAAAGTAATATGGCAGTGATGGGAATCAAGTAAGACTAAAATAACATATTGGTCAACTGTAATGAAAATTTAAAGTTTCTACTGTCTTATTTTTGCAAATATGGTGCTCCCTTGGGGGCTATGCTTGGTACCTAGAAAGGGTTACTCTTCTGCCACCTCAGCAAGACCTGCTCAATGTTCATGTTTTTATATGGGTTTCTAGCTAGGAATGGTTTTGAATTTTGATATGGTTGAAAATATTATTCATTATGTCTTTGCTTTTGCCCCCCAACAAGAGTTGAGAAGTTGTGATAGAGACTGTATGTATCCCACAAAGCCAAAGATGTTTACTATCTGATCCTTTACAAGAAAGCTTACCGACTGCAGTTCAAGACAAACCATTTCATTCTCATACTCTAAGTACTCCAGGTACTTTCACAAAGGTGTGGTCTATGAGGCAGACTGTATCAAGGAGGCAGTACAGGCTCTGTGGTCAAAGAAAATTCAAGTTTATCCCTGCCACTAACCAACAGAAAAAACTAGAGAGTTGTTAACCTTAACAAACCTCCAATTTATCATCTGTAAAACTGGAAAAATAACACATACCTTGAAGTCTTTCATGAAGATTAAATGAGATTTTAGATGTATGTAATACTATAGTAATAAACATCATTTATTTTTACTACTATTATTAAATTACTCATCTGATTATAATTCTCTATGCTGTTTTCTCCTCTTGATAAAATCCTAATCATAAAAGTCTTCCTTGAAGGTGCTTCTATGATTTCTCATACCTACACTGGTACACACTCTTGTTTGTGGAATTCCTTAAAGATGGAAAACAATGTCTTACCTTTCTTCAATTCTTAGCACAGGGCATGGGTAGGTATAGGGTCCAGCCCTACAGGGTTCTGTGAGCCCCTCCTAGCTGGTGCAGAGATAAGAAATTGTAGAAATAAAAGACACAAGACACGGAGATCAAGAAAAGAGTTTGGGCTCAGGGGTCCACTGCTACCCAAACGCGGAGACAAGCAGTGGCCCTGAATGCTGAGGCGCTCTCACTTTTATTGAGTTGCAAACCTGGGGACAGGGTGGGTAGGGCGTGGTCTTGCTAGTAGGAGACTAGGGGGCAGGGTAGATAGGGCATGGCAGTGATAGGATCAAGTACATCACATGTCATTCAGGTAGGGGCTCAGGAATTTCTGGCACCCAAAATGAGGTAAGGAGCATAATGCATCAGCACTTTTTCCATATTTATCAAGAAAGAACTAAAACATTAAGATTTATATTACTATTACTGATTATCTTTTCTAAGAAAAAAGGAACCAGGTGCAGAGGCAGAACATAAGAGTAGACATGGAACGTGACCACTGACGCACAGCATCACATAGAGACAGTTAAACCCCCAGATGTCTGCGGGCCCACCTTACAGCCCTCAAGCCTTACCACAAGAGCTTGGAGAAGCAGAGTTTTCTCCTAACTCCTCCAGGGAAGGAGACATCTCAGCTATGTTGGACGTCTCCTTCCCTAGCTGGCTAAACAGCGGGCGATTTCCCAGCTCTGGTGCTGCCACACAGCCAAGGCGCCCTCCAGCAGCCCTTATGCGGGCGTGACAGAGGGCTTAGAGCATCTTGCCTTAGTGTCATTCATTTCACAATGCCACCCCAGGTTCACACTTCTGACCTGAGAGGCATTAGTAAAAGAATTAAGATCACCTATAAATAACTAAGATCACATATAAATAATAACTACTATGGTTATATTTCTAGTTAGTTTCTCCTTCATTATTTGTATGGAAATAGGCCGAGGCTTTTTGCTCCTGCCTTGGTGCTTATGGAGTCTCCCTCCTACAGACAGGGGGTAATAAATACTGAATTAATGACTCTGTGAGTTATGCCAATCATATGAGAGTGAGTTTATTGCAAGGATGAATTTTCAGTCCAATGGTTTCTCTAGAACTACTCTTAAGGTCTTATTCCTTGAGGACTTCTGCCCAGGTTGTCCACTCCACCACAGCCATAATCCTCTCTTTGGCAATTTGTTAACTGAAATTAACAAAGTTAAATAGAAAGCAGGAGAAATTAAGTAAAGAACACATGAAGGGTTCTTAAATTATCTTTCTCAAATGTGCTTCTCTTCCAGTCAGTCTGCATCACTTGAAATGGCATTACAGTGGGTGATGGGGCCGGAATAGAATGCATTTTCATTGAGCACTTACCATGGACCCATTACTTTACATCAAGGACAGGATAACGGTTAAGAGCACAGGCACTGGAATCAGACCTGGGCTCCAGTCCCAAATCTGCTAATTAGCAGAGTGACATTGGGCAAGTTATCTTTTATTTTTTTATTTAAATATACACATACTATGTACCCGAAGGGCATGTTATCTAAGTTTTGTGTGCCTACATCCTCTTCTAGAAACCAGTGATAATAATAGTACTTATTCCAAAGGATTGTCATGATGATGAATCGAAATAATACATATAAAGTGCCTTAGCACTGTGCCTGGTGTACCTGGAAGACATTACAGGGTCTGGTCTGCCAGAGAGTGAGCTGTCTCCCACGGACCTGTGTGGAGTTGAGATTGGGAGCTGAGCGAGAGTTTCCACTGGTGCTGCTGGTCATGTGGTGAGTGTTTGGGACAGTGACTATGCATCATGAATCTTGTTTCTCCGACCCCCAGCTATCATTCCAGGGACTCATTCTGGGGCCCTGCCCCAGCCTGTCACCTTGAGGAAAGCCCTCTTCACGTCCTTGTTCCGGAGGCTGTAGATGATGGGGTTGAGGAAGGCAGAGATGACATTGTAGAACAGAGCCAGCTTCTTGTCCTCTTCTGGGGAGGCCTTAGAGCTAGGCTTCATGTACATGACCATGGCTGGCACAGAGAACATGGTGACCACAGTGATATGGGAGGCACAGGTGGAGAACGCCTTTAGCCGCCCCTGTGCTGAATGGATCTTTAAGATGGCAATGAAAATGTTGACATAAACTATAAGAATGAGGGACAGTGGGATCAGGATGACACTGAAACCAAGAATGAAATCTACTCGGTCATTGACTGAGGTGTCCGCACAAGCTAGCTTTAAGACTGCAGGGACTTCACAGAAGAAGTGGTTGATTCTGTTGGGGCCACAGTAGGGCAGTTGCATGGCAAACATGGTGTAGACAAGGGCAGAGGTGACACCCCAGAGTCCACAAAAAATGACCATCACCCCACAGAGCCACGAGCTCATGATGACCTTGTACCTGAGTGGGTGGCAGATGGCCACATACCTGTCTACAGACATGATGGCAAAGAGCCAGGACTCAGTGATGCCTAGCACCAAGAAAATGTACATTTGGGCCACACAGCTAGTGAAAGGGATTGTCTTCTTCTCACTGGCCAGATGTGCCAACATCTGGGGCACAGTTGTGGTCGTGTAGCCAAGGTCCAACATGGACAAGATGCCAATAAAGAAATACATGGGACTGTGAAGGTGCGAATCCAGACAGATGAGGATGGCAATCAAGCCATTGCCCAGAATAATCAACAGGTAGATCATCAGAAAGGCCGAGAAGAGCAGAGGAGTGGTCCTGGGGCCAAGGGAGAATCCCAGAAGGATGAATTCAGCAACAAAGGACTGGTTGGGCTCTTGCATTATGCTCCACCTCTCAATGAAAAAGAAAGGCACCAATCCAGACAGGGAACTAGCTCAGGCTTGCACTCAAGCTGGGGTCATTGGTGGGGTTGGGTAATGGTCAATGCCCTGTTCAGATGAAGCACTGTGATAATCCCAGCAACACAGCTCATTTTACCTGCTCTTGTCAACACCACCACTCCCAGGAGATTTTATGAAGAGTCACATCTAGCACTGGCTGTACCTCCAAACCTCCAACAAGTACCTGGCTCAGCCTCAGATTCTTCAGCTGTGGAATGAAAACATTGAGCCAGCTGGTCTCTAATTCCCCTTAGCATCCTCCTCTCCTTAGTGAGGCACTTGGGTTTCCTTCATGCCACTAGGAATTTCGAGATAAATATTGGTATATTGACTCTGTGCAAGTTGGAAAATTTCAGAGGCCTGTGACAATGAGAATGCCCACATTATCCTTTGAAGATACCTATTTTTTTTTTAACCACTTTACCTTCAGTCTGTCTACAGGCCAGGACAGCTCTCTGACTACCCACCCATCCCATCTCAGGCCACGGTGTATTAGAAAGAACACTGACTTCTAAATCCAGCCTGTATAATTTGCTGAGTGAATGACCTTGAATAAGTCATTTACCCTTCCCCCCACTTCTTTGAGACTGCTTTCACCAGGGCAAAATGAAAATAATTGTCTCTCTGTTACAGGTTTGCTGTGAAGATTGAATGATATTTTGGCATGGAAATTATCACACAAGAAGGCCTAACATGTGCTATGTGTCCAATACATCTTAACTGAATTTCTGCGTGACTCTCCATACACAAGACTGGTATTCAGGTCCAAGCTGTGCAAGCAGACATCTTGGGAAATCACTCCATCATCCCTGATGCCCAGCATCAATTTTCACTGCCCCATATGTCTACCCTCTGTTCCTTCTCCCCACAAAAGCCAACATTCTGTTAACATTTTTGGCTTCTTGCTGACCCCTAGTTCTGTCTCCCTGAGCTTCAGTTTCTCCATGGGAACAGGGAAAGGGCAGCCTCTTTGAAGAGATGTCATATGCATCATCAGCACATAGGAAATGGAGCTATCTTGATGCTCTCAGTGTTACTCTTCCTGGCACCAATTTATCTGACCTCAACCTACGTGTTCCCCAGTTTGCTTGCTCTCCTTTGGAGCACCATAGATGAGTCTTCACAAGAACCTGTGTCTACACTCAATCCATTAGATGGTTTATGGATTTTGGCCAACAGGACTGCACACAGTTTGACTCCTCTGTACTAGGCACCTTTCCAGGATCTTCACTATGTTAATCTGATAGGTGCCATGTAGCTGGCAGACAACTATTTTTATTAAAATCTACCTTTCACTAAAGAGCTTTTGCAGGTCATGTTGTTTCCCTAGTTTGGCCTTAGTTTCTTCATCTGAACAAAAGATAATGGTGCTTGAGCCAGGTGGTCCTGAAGGGAGAGAAACCTCACGTGACAGGGTGGAAGGGACATGGGGTTTAGAGACAGCTGGTCCTGCTTGGATCCTGGCTCTGACTTGACTTCCTTTGTGACCTGGGCTGTTAGTTCACTCTTCTAGGCCTCTCCCCGTTTCTTCAGCTGTAAAATGGCATTCAAAATACCTACTTGGAAAGCCACATTCTTCCTGTGGAGAAGCAGCCCAAGGAGGTTGGACTATTCCACCTTGGGCCTTGCGTGGGAAAACGTGCTGCCATTTCTCACAATTCATTTTTTACATGAAGTCAATGAATAAGATTTTTCTTGAGGCTCTGGTGTTAAAGAGTGTTTAACCTGGTCAAACTGTGAAGATGGGCTGTGGTCAGCTGGGACAAGCTGTCTATAAACTAGTGAAGTATGCCTGCAGATGCCATTCTACAACAAGGACCTTGTTCCCTGAACCCCAGAGCCCCCATCACTTCTCCCTGACTCTCCTAAGGGTATTCAACAGCCTCAACAGAGTGCTTGGCAAAAAACTGCCTGACTCTCAGACATTGTAGCCAGAAAGCCCATGTGAGGGAGACCCAGGAGCAACATCATCTACCATGATGAGCCCAGCCTCTGTGCCTCCACTTGGGCCAAAAATATAGAATCTGGCTTTTGAGCTATGCCTTGCAAAATGCTTTGACATTAATTCTCACCTTGAACCTCCTGATGACTCTGTGAGAAGTATAGTGGAGGGATTATTATTGCCATCTCACAGGTGGAAAAACTGAGGTTCAGAGAGGGAACGTATGGAAGAAAGTAAATCTCTTTCATTCTTCAGCAGTCATAGGGTTTCCCATGTGCAGCAAAACCAGAACTAGCCAAAGTTCAATTAATCTGAGTCATCAACTTACTGAAACTTTCTGTCCTTGATTCTTAGGATGAAAAGGCATATCATAAGGGAAAAGAATCTTGTGTTGGTTTTGGTTTGATTGTATGTATATATGCATATGTATACACATATGTCTATGTAAGCATACATGCACACACGTGTGTGTATGCACACACACACATTCACAGACATGCATGCACACACAGTAGTCAATGTCACTTGTTAGATCAATCCAGTCAGACTGGTCAGAAACTTGGAAAATCCCTCAGCTCCTGTCTCATGGCCCTATGTCCTATCTGTTCCCTGGTTTCATTGCTGCCATCTTCAAAATGCCTCTCCCCCACATCTTGTCTCTCTCCAATCCCACTGCAACGATCAGCTCAGACACTCAGCATCTGTCTCTCACCTGGTCTCATCTCAGTCCACCTGCTGGACCTTCGCCCAACTCATTCTCTGCTCTGGCCTTCAGAGTGCTCTTCCTAAAACAAAAAATCTGATTGGGCCACTTCTTCATGGCTCCCTTGTCTGCAGAGAAAATTCTAAGAAATTTAGGCCAATTCCCCAGCTTCACTCCTTAAAGCCAGACTTAGTTTTGGTCTCCAGGCTTCAAGGGAGGTTGAGGGGCTGGACACTTTAAAAGAGATCGTCTGCCGCTCTAGAGCCGACATAGAAAGGGTCCCAGCAGCCCTGGAGGTCATCTCCAGAGAGGAGATACAGAGACAGATTTACCATAGGAAGGAGAGGTTTTCCAGGTCGCAACAGGAGTTTGTGTCAGAGTTGAGATTAGGATCCAGAACTCCTGGCCAGCTTCTCCGGCTGTCTTAGCGCAAGGCAAGCCCAAGCTAACTTAGAAATCTTGCAGATCATAGTTGGGCATGGTGGCTCACACCTATAATCCTAACACTTTGGGAGGCCAAGGTGAGAGGATCACTTGAGCCCAGGAGTTTGAGACCAGCCTGGGCAACATAGTGAAACCTCATCTCCATAAAAAATAAAAACAAAATAGCTGGGCAAGTTGGCGCATGCCTGTAGTCTCAACTACTTGGGAAGGCAAGGCAACAGGATCATTTGAGCCCTGGAGGTGTAGGCTGCAATGAGGTATGATTGTGCCACTGCACTCCAGCCTGGGCAACAGAGTGAGACTCTGTCAAAAGAAAGAAAAGAGAAAGGAAAGAAAGGGAGAAAGAAAAGTCAGCAGGTCAGACACATCCCCACCAAGCAGCACAGCTCCACTTCATGCATGCCTTTATTACTGCCTTCTGTAGCTTTCTTACTTAATACAGAGCCTGGTGTATCATAAGACTCAATAAATATTTGCTGAATGATCTGTATACTGGGAAGACCTGGGAAGCCAGAACAAAAGAGAAAGGAGTGATTACCTTCTCTTTCTCCCTACACCTTTCTCTCCTTTCCCTGGAGGTCAGGAAAGCGTCACCTGTGTCTGGAGGTTATAAGCCCCTCAGGAGAAACCAGGGTACCAGTCAATTGGCTGGTGGGAGGGGATTGGGGGTTGGGAGAACTGGTGCCGAATGCTGTGAATTTTTCTACTATGTTCCTGTCCCAGCTAATAATAATAATTATAGCGATAGCAGTTTATTATGTGCCAGGCACCGCAACATGCGCTTTACATTCATTATTTTATTTTATCCCCATAACTGGGTGATAGGTGAAAGATTCACCAATGAATACAGGCACCATCCAATCAGAGCAGACCCCTGCCACAGGAGCAGGGAAAGCTGTAGCAGCCTGCCTGTGAGCTACACAGGACACCCATGCATGCCACCCTGTACAGTGAGTGGCATTACTATACCCATTTTACAGATAGGGAAAGAGGTGACACCTTGCCGAGGGCCACAGCTGTGCAGAGCTTGTACTCATGACCACAGGGAGCACCACCTCCCTGAGCATGTATAGCAAGAATGGTTGGTCTGACCTGCTAAAAAATAAGTCCTCTTCCCCCACATCATTTACTTACTCACTCACTTGCTTGCTCATTCCCTGCCTCCTTCCAGGTAGGAGCTGAATGACAGGAGTCAGAAGGAACAGAAAACATAATCCAAAAGCAGGACACATGAAGTTGGGGCAGGCAGTTGATGAAGCCAAGCAGATGCAGGGAGGAGACAAAACCAGGCTTATTGCTGGTGCTGCTGCTGCACACAGAGAAATGGCCATATGCTGGTCCTACCCGAACCTGTGTGTTCACCTGTCCCCCAGCCCTTCACGCCATGATCTCCTTCTTCTTAGTGGGCTGCATGTGGGGGCAATGGGCATCCCGAAGGGGGTCAGAGGCCAGGCAGGCAGTGCTAGAGCTGGCTCTTCCCACATATCCTCCTCCTGCGATGTCCAGTAAGACCGGAAATCATCAGAGCTGTCTGGGAAGAGGATAGAGGGTTGGTTCAGGTGCATAACGGTAAGTGGGACTGGGGTCTGCTACACCAGGTGATAGGGGTGAGTTATAGGAGCCCAATACTATCCTAGGAGACATAAGATAGAGCAATGGGGAAGAGGGCTAAGGTGGCAGCTTCCACCTAAGGGCAGCAAGAAGGGACCAGAGTACAAGCCAGGGACCCAGGCTGGGCAGAATAGAGACATGGAGGCAGAGCTGGAAAAAAATCAACATACATAGATGAGTAGACAGGAGACACAGAGGCAGGCAAGAGCCTCAGTAGACAGGAAACAGTTGGAAACAGAT